ACAGTGAAAATTGTAATTTCTGTAACAATTTGATCTTACCTGTAAACCGGCATGCCTCATGTAACGAACTGTTATTTCAGAATAAATTATTATTATTATTATAACTGTAGAAGGGCAGAATATTTTATCCGGGGAGCAACATGGTTTTCGGAAAGGCCAGCCATGTTTGACTAATCTTCTCATTGAAAGAGAAGATTGGGCTGTGGCGAATGATCGAAACATTCCACGTAATTTTCACAAACCTAAGTAAAGCCTTTGTAGCAAAGCCATCTGTTCTACTCTTCGACGATGACATAAAGATTTTAGACTCATACATAGTATATAAGAACTCTCGTCTAAATTAGAACGAAAATTTCACAGTATTTGAGCGCCGAGTTGAAGTAAGACATTAAATAGGAATAATATATTTGTAAAATCTCAGCGAATGAATTTTTAAATTAAATCCAACGTTTCGCCTGGCAATCTGGTCCAAGGAATTAATTCCTTGAATAAGCTTGGACCACATTGCCAGGCGAAACGTTGGATTTAATTTAAAAATTCATTCGCTGAGATTTTACAAATATATTATTCCTATTTAATGTCATACATAGTATGTCAGGATGATCTCAACTCATGGGTGACGTGGATGGACGGATGTTCACTAGAAGTGAATTCTAACAAGATTGTGGTGATGCGATTAAATAACTATGATGATTCGTATTACTACAGAATACGTGGATTTGTTACCCAAAGTTATGAACTATAGATATTTAGGAGTCATAATGGTTATGTCCCAATAAGAATAGTGAATGGCAATTTCGGGATCCGTTTATAGACCAATACTATGCTTATATTTTCATTATATTATTGTTAACTAACTAAACTATTCATATTCGTGTCCCATTTATAATAAGCTTTATTTTGACCCATAGGCTATTTATTATTATACGATTTACCATTCTTGAGTTATCCCCAGTCTATCAATCGCCATTTCCCTTATTCACAGTCACATTTGGTTAGATCTTGTAAAATTTTCATTTCCTATTTTATGGTATGATGTAGTCTGTCTTACTGGTAAATAAACGCTATATGTTTGAAATAAGTGATTCATATTGAAGAAGCTGTTATCGATGTTCTGGACTAAACTGACTGGGCTAGGCAGAAAGAAGGACCGATAAGTACTCTTGACTGCTCGTATGGGTTTCCTGTGTCTTTGGTCCGATTGATAATTCACTGCTCTCCAAGTAACGGTATTATCACGGTATGCATTACCAAGGCATACAGGCCACAAGTTATAGCAATAATAAGCATCAGTCTAAAAACTACAAGTAACTGTAAGGCTGCCGCGGCAAAATGCTATGAAATATTATGGGCTATTCGTAGGTTTTTTCGGTGTTTGGACGAAGAAATTTCTAGATTATTACACCCAATTTTCTTGATACCACATTTGGAATGTGGGACTGAAGTAGCGAGTCCTTGTTTCAAGTGTGTGGCAAATGTGCTGGAACGAGGGAATAAAATGGTAGAAGGTCCCTCTGGTCAAACCGTCTATTAACCTTCGTGAGCGTGTGTCGATGAGTAGATTGTGGTATTGTAACAGGTTTATACCAATGATTGGCATAGACACATCTGCAACAACGAAAATCCTGTGGATGGGTTTGCGTAAACCCACGTTAAGGTACACATACCTTTTACCATATGTAGCAATCGGTTTTCCGTTCACCGCCTGTAAACTTACAACAGATTCGTGAAGCCTGTCTTAAGAGTTCGCGGGTAGAACGCTAACTTCTGCGCCAGTGTCGACGAGGTAGCGGACCTATGTAGTCACATCTGTGACGTATAACAGACGGCTATGTTCGCCAGCCACAGTTGCCGTTAGCGCATGCCAGCTTGGAAGTTTCCCGAGTTTTTATTTGTGTCAGTCAACTTAGCTTTCGGGTAATTGCAGGGTTTCCTAAAATTTCTAGAATATTTGCCTTACTGGTTATGATGCCAGCACCAGTCGGGATTATCTGTCTCTCGTGGTCGCCTACGTGATACGCTCCTTCGCGCGGTTCTTGATCGACTATGATCACTACGAAATCGCAGATATCGTGTTAGTGTATGAAATAATTCGTTAATGTCATTCTGGGTCGTTTGAGGATTTTCTTAACTGAAAAACTCCGGCGCTAGTAGATTTGGTAATTTCTAGAATTCGATCAGCAGATGCAACTAGTTCGTCTACGGCGTTGTTTTGGAACGAGACGAGATCTGCCTGCACCTGTTTTGGGAGTTTAGACAAGAAAAGTTCTTTAAATAGGCCATCATCGAAGGTTATTTGACCTATCATTGCTCTCTTCCTAAGAAACAATTCTGTCGCAGAACCATGTTGCAGGTCGATGTTATTTAAGAGTTGGTCTAACATTGTCGGTCGGTTAGATCTCCACGTCTCAGAATCCATCGTTTTAGCGTTTCGTGAGGTTCCGAAACATACTAGGTGTTACGTACCTGTCAAATTCGCGCTGCAGTGCCTTAACCACCGCGGGGAATTGTGAGCGTGAGTCCGTAATGCCGTGACTGCAAAAATAAGCTTCTGCGTAGCAGAACCAGGCTTCGATATTGTCAGGCCAAAAAGAGGTTAACTGAATCGAGGGTGGGGGAAGAGTTTTTAACTTAAATACTTTGGATATCTGTTCCGTCACAGTATTATTAGAGCGAAAAATATATAATTAAAATATATCGGAAAAAGTCGAAAAAACGGTATATCACAATATATAAAAATAAAATAAAGAAAAACAATGAATAATGAAGTTTCAAAAAGAGACAGACTCACAGTTTATGTACCAGATTACGTCAGGTTCACCGCTGAAGATACGACTAGTCTTGTAGTTTTGCAACTAGCAACCAGTGACACCTATACTCAAATCGTCCCAAATTAGATAAAACCAGAAGTCAGATGCGAAGAGGTAAGAAAGATATATTTGATGCGTTATCGATATATGGAGAAGCGTTTGCTCTAATCCGGCTAGTGAACGTAGGAGGTGTGTCACACGCTGGGTCGTAACGTGATCTGGTGCGGATGCATGACCGAAAGCCCTCAGTTAAACAAGTCCACTTAAAACAATGTGGTCAGCATCCAATGTCGAACACTTACTGAGCTATTGATTTTGGGGAATTATTTACAGCTACAACAGACTGAGACACTTCAACTTCTGTTATCTTGCCGTAGAATACAGGGTGGTCTAATATTGGCTTATCTTATACTGAACGAATACCTTGAAATTAATGTCTTATCTTTTCTTTCTGTCCATGACTGATCATTTGAGAGGAAATTCGAAGAAAGTTCAGAAACCCTGATCAAATTATCTACTTCTGGAGTTCCGTTTCACGTACTGAAGACTGATAAATGTAAGTGCCTCGTGTGCACTCGGTAGGTCGTCGACCCAATTTTATTATTTTCCTATCTCCCAATCCTCCCCACTCACGCAACTCCATATGATTCTCTAGTAGACAAATATCTCATGGCTGGATGTAGACTGCTACATACACAAGCTAGTGACAAAAATATTGGAGCATCTTAAGCTTAGTCGCAACACTAACCTAAGAGGTAACACCCAGAAACTGGAGACCCAACATAGCAGAACAGACTGCAGACACAAATTCTACTCCGTAAGAGTTGTCAAGTGCTGGAATTCGCTACCGACTGAGCTAGTCCAAGCGACTTCCCAGGAGTCGTTTAAGAGGAAACTTCAAATGGTTCAAATGGTTGAGGACGGAATAGAAGAAGCTTTCGCTTAACGGGCTTCCGTGTCTGATAGCAGTGGATCACCAATACATCCAGGCAAGAACCTAGGTATATGACCGATAGTAGAGGGAAAAAAAGAATTTGGTAAATCATAATAATATGTTATCCTTAATCCTTAAGAATAAGTCAAGTTTTCTCTTAAAGGACTCCTGGGAGGTCGCTTGGACTAGCTCAGTCGGCAGCGAATTCCAGCACTTGACAACTCTAACGGAGTAGAAGTTGTGTCTGCAGTCTGTTCTGCTATGTAGGGTCTCCAATTTCTGGGTGTTACCTCTGAGGTTAGTGTTATGACTAAGCTTAAGAAGTTGTTTAAGGGGATGACCAGAAGTATTAAGGATACTATAAGTCATAAGAAGACCACCTCTAAGACGCCTATACTCTAACGGGTAAAGGTTAAGTGATTTGAGGCGCTCTTCATAAGGTTTGAATTTGAGACCCCGAACTGATTTCGTGGCTCGACGTTGTATACGTTCCAGAGTGACCTTATCCTTTTGGAGGGAGGGAGGAAATACTATGTTTCCGTACTCTAAGTGGGGACGAATAAAACTGTTGAAGATTATATGGAAGGTTCTACCGTCAAACTGGCCAAAAATGCGCTTCAATGTTACCAGTGCAAGGTTTGCTTGAGAGGCGTTTTTGTCACAGTTCGCATACGATTTCAGGTCGTAGGGTACCAACACTCCTAAATCTTTTTCAACTTGGGAAACTTCTAGAGGTGAGTTACCTAAGTTATAAATATAGTCTGCAACATGTCTCAGATGGACTACCTTGCACTTTGAAGTGTTGAAGGTAAGTCCGTTGTCGTCTGCCCAGCTTTGAAGTCGAGTCAGATCCTCCTGAAGAACTAGTATATCATTGTGAGTGCGTATCTCTCTCCAAAGTTTCACATCATCAGCAAAAAGCAATAAATCAGATGAAACTTGTTGAGGAAGATCGTTAATATAAATCAAGAAGAGAAGAGGTTCTAGTATTGAACCCTGGGGGACCCCACTAGGACATTCCATAGCCTGAGAGAGAGTGACTTATTCTTAAGGACTAAGGATAAGTTATTATGATTTACCAAATTCTTTTTCCCCTCTATTATCGTTCATATACCTAGGTTTCTGCCTGGAGGTATTGGTGATCCACTGCTACTAGATACGGAAGCCGGTTAAGCGAAAGCTTCTTCTATTCCGTCCTCAACCATTTGAATCCCACCGCCCACTTCAACAATAACGCTGCTCAAGTATTTTCAGTAGGGTAGTGAAAACTTAGTAGGTCCAAATACTTTTGTACTAGCTTATTTTATTGTTAAACAAGGATGGTTTAAATCTTCCAACTTACAAGAAGTATACTGTGTGGAACTAATGTCAAGAAATCTGAAGGATATTTGTCGAAAAATAGTGGCAGTTGGACGAAACTATGCGTAGTCATGAGGTTACTTAATGCCTATAATTAGAGACCATGCAAAAGAATTGGGAAATAAAATTGAATCTTCTCCTGTTATTTTTTTAAAGCCTTCTAGTTGCATCATTGATGGGGGAAAAATTAAAGTTTTTTGCTGCAATCCTTACTTAATCATTTATCACTAATATATAGTTTCCAAATGGGACCGACGAAATCCATCATGAAGTCGAACTTGGTTTGGTCATTGGGAAATCACTGGCAAATGTTAAAGCAGAAGAAGTAAAAAAACCCACTCAGTTTAAACACTGTATCTTCTTAAGTTTCACGTTGTGGCGAAGGTAGATATGTAAGAACAATTCATGTGTTCATTCAAGTAGCAGTAATGCCAAATATGTATTTTAATAGTTAAGCCCAGGGTTAGTAAACAGAACAAGCTTTTGATAAAAATAATTGGCACTAAACTGCTGAAATAGATAAATTATTAACCTGTCAGTAGGATGAGACTGTCTCCAATGTATAGAAATTGTAACAACACGTGTTAGGCCGACCGAAAGTAGTGTAGGATTGAAATAGTTTAGAGTTGTAACCTAATGAATAAACCCGGAATTGTGTAGAATGGGTCCACTGTTAATTATATTGAACGAAAATGTAGTGAACCAGTGTTTCTACCAAACAATGTATTTCAAGTGTTTACCTTTCAGAAAAGTTATAGGATAGAATAGTTAAACATACAAAAGTGTGTTAGAAAGTTAGACGGATAAGGGCTTCGAACTAGTCACGTAACTGGACACAAGATAGCCAATAGGATTGAATTCGCACATCTAACAGTCACATGGCTGTCTTGACCTTTCGTAGCCCAAATGAGTATACGAATAAATTACTTCCATGTGTTTGTACTTGATGTTACCTTTCTTTTCGTACATTTTAATTTTTCTTTTATTTAGGTTTATTCGGCTATATTAGGTTATGTGGTTGCGCTAGATCTAACTGACCGATCACTTCAGAATCAACTAAAAGCAAGCGGACTCCCATGGACGTTGGCTAAATGTTTCGACACAGCTTGCCCTGTGGGGTCGATTCTTCCTTTGGATTCACTGCCGGCCGGTATTTTAACGTCTCGTCAGGAATTCCAAAACGTAAATAACGAGATTTGGTTAAAGGTAAACCAGGTGGAACGACAACGATCAAAATTGAATATGATGGTCTGGACACCAGCAGATTTAGTATCGATAATTACCAAAAGAATTTCACTACAATATGGAGACCTAATTTTAACCGGTACACCTGCTGGTGTAGGACCTCTGAGATCTGGTGATGAAATCGAAGCTGGATTAGATGATTTATGTTCTATAAAATTTAGCGTAGAATGACTATATTTTTACTGAAGTTGATTGTCTTCGTAAAATTACTTCATGCTTAACTGTATGTTCGCAAGACATTAAAACTTCAACGCACCTTTACATTATGGTTGTTACTGTGTTAAGATTATACCTTTGTCACTGGAAAACGTCTTTTTAGCTGTATTATCAGTGTCTCGACTAAGTACACCTGTTTTCAGTTACTTTCTTCAGTTTTATTACATTCTCCTACTTTGCCTTAACAAAATATATGTCTATAGATAGCTGATGAGTAATTCCTAATATGAAGCCTTTTTATGTTTTTGAAAGATATGTCTTGGCTTTCTCTGTACAACAAAAACAACAACTTAACAGACCTTTCCAGAGAGAAAGCTAATTAGTAGGATATTTGGCTAGCTTTAGTTAGTTGCATAGAATTAATTTTGGGATTATGGTACGTACATTACTTCCTAACCAGTTACTTTGAAGTTCTGATTAACGGCTAGATCGAAGAACTGACAAAATTTCGAACACTCCTTATCAGCCAACCCAAATGAGTAGTTAACGCTCCACTAATGTCAACCCATTCCTTGTTATTAAAGATATTAGCATACATGGGCAATGAAGATCTGTTGTTTCACAGATGCTTAGAATTTTCATGTGTGCTGAAAGTGTCAGAACAAAGTAGGTGGTCAGTTCTTATGTGATTGGAGATAAACATTGATTTTCTCGATCTGATTAATAATGCTCTTAAATGGAAATCAAACCATTAATATCGGGTAGCGCTGTATGTTGTTATCTGAGATGATTCTCACGGTCGACTGGATTTGAATAAATATAATTAAGTAAACTAATTTTTGTTTGACATTTATACTTCTGAAGAGCTTTACGATCTACAAGGTTGAGGAAAACCATTTAACTAGTGTGTATAATTAGATTTTGGTAAGCGGGGCTCCGGTCAACGCACTTACAAACTATAAATCTGCTAAGTTTTCTTGGGACACAACTATAGGTCGAATCACAATGTTACTGTAGATCTCAAGAATTACGTCAGATAAATCTAAATAATCTTATTAGTTGACTGGAGTAATGGTTAGCCAAATTATAAAAATCGCATACAATATAGAATACTTCATTCTGGAGCTAATGATCTGAAAATGAACTTTGATTTTGTGCGAACGAAAAAGTGATTTTATTCGAGACCTTCTAAAGTGGTTAATACTTGACGTTGAGTGGGTCATTTCGCGTTAGGACACCAATGTTCGTCATGTGTAATTTCTATATATCACTTGTTATGCGAAGTTTTTACTACATCTGTTTGTTTTTACGAGGTTAACTAGTCCTATGTTCCAGGCAATTGAATATACTATCTTAGCCGTGTTTGTGTTTTCACAAGTGATCGGAACTGATGATCATCCCTCCAAATGATAGACAACTGTCCATTAGTGTGAACTAAGGATAGACATAAACATCCGCATCTTGTGTATTGTCCGGAGTGTTAACATGTTTTATCTTTCTGGTTCGTTTCAAGACTAACAACTTTTGAGGCTATCAAAAAGGGTTCATAAACCACGATAGTAAATCCAATTCGGCATTCCTGCTTTGTCATCAACGACTGGAACGTCATAATCAAGCACATAGTGTCTGTCCAGTTAGTAAACACCTAAAACGAAGCAGGACATCTAAGAGTTGACACAAGTCAGCCTACTTGCTGTAACCATTACAAAGAACGAGTTGGTGAGTGAAAAAAGTGGGAGGAACGGTCCTGTTAATGTGAATACAATTAGGATGAACACTTCCAGTCATGTGCGCCTATCACTTATATGGAGAAAGTTTCAGCAGAGCCGCCATCGGCTTTTATTCTGATTTATGTCTCAACTCACTGAGTTGTATCATACCTAGGACTTCAGCAAAGGAGTTGTAAGAACGTACAGGAGCCTTTCTGTACAGTTTTTTTCATGCCATAGAGTGGTTACCCTTTCGCTTTTAAAATCGGCCCTAGAGTCAGCGAATACTACACGACGTGGAATTCGTAGGGGTAATAACCGCAGTACATGACCAAACCGCCAAAACTAATGTTTCAAGATAGGGGGACTAAATAAATTACCGTCGCTGTGCCCGGACACAAGTTGGTAAATGTCTACATCACTATCATGGTTTTGTCACCGTATGTCAGCAATCCTCTGGAGACAACGGCGAACTAACACAGAAAGTCGCTTAACATCATTAACTCGGAGGCCAGGTTTCGCAAGAATAGGGCGAAACTGTTCTCATAGGCGCGTTCACGGGTTCTGAACAATCTACGTAGAACGATAGGGAAAATCTAATTTGCAAACTACATGGCCTCATTCAGTTACTGGAAAGCACTTCAAGGAGACACTAGTACGGAAACACTGAAGGAATGATTGATATAAAATCTCCGAACACTATATGCTATCAGGCTTTGTATCATCCGTAGATGTGCCAAGGAATAACTACTGCATTGGGCCACAATAGTAAATACTCACATTTTCACCTGCTCTTGTGAAGCAAGTTACAGTAACTACACATCCGGGTGTTTCTCAGACACATTATACTGCGTGGCTCACGATGGGTGAATGTAAACCGACAAACAGTTCAACTCGTCATACGGTTAGTCTTTCGAAATTATTAAAGAGCTCAAACTAGTAACTTACACACTGAAGAGGCGTTGGCAACCTATCGTTCCAATATGAACTGTCCCAGAAACACATACAAGTTGCTACTATCAGATGGACCCCGGGCTTGATTTCCCTAGACGATTATATGATTGTTTACATATCCTTCTAGCATTTTTAACCTTATTTGTTGCTATCACTAATTCTAAAGTTTATTCTCGTCACTCTGAAAATTCTCAAATTTTAAGCAATTCTCTTTGACTCATGATTAGAAGTGATTGTCACCGTTTTTCAACTGACCGTAAATACCACTGAATAGCCTGAGTTTATGTCGTTAACACTGGAGCTTCCTCTGCTGAATTGTCTTCGATCACAGTCGTCACTAACAAACCGCGGTTGACTAGTGTTTTACTAACAAAGACCAAATGAATTACTATGTTACAAAGCAATACGTTGGCAGTTGTTACTGACACTTCCTTACAGCTGACAAGCCCAAAGGGGATTCAAGTGAATATCGAGATTGGGAAAACGCTGAAAGACTAGCACTTAATCATTAAAACTATATACATGTCTAACATCGTTAGTCTAATATCCGTTGAATTGATCACTACAGACAACAAGGTACCGCCTATAGCGCATTCAGAGCTCACATTGCATCATCCACATTATGAAGTCCACACAGTCGCTAGGAACCCCGGGTAAGACTGAAACAGTTTTCCGGATACCACGAGACGAATCCCTGGGATTATTTACGAAAGTTATCAAAAACCATAGAAACTATCAAACTACTACTGAAAAACTCGGATTAAACATTGGAGCGGACAACCGCTGTATGGGTCTTGGATATTTGCTTGATAAAGCAATATGAAAGGGTTAACGTTATGAATAATTAATGGGTCAAAGATGCTTAGACGCGCGCAGAAATAAATATTTGGATACGAAGTCGACAATCAAGAAAATTCGAGATGAGGCATTTATTAATTTACTTTTTTACTGCCTTTTTTACAGGTTTTGTGGTTTTTTCAATGGGCTTCTTCAACTTGAACTGTTTCAAGATGTTGTTGCGCTGCAAGAGAAAAAAAAATATGGTCAATGGTATGAATACAACTCGTCAGTAAATTGAAATCATCAAGAAGCACAGACGGCTCTTCCAAAATCTCATCATAATAGTGTTTGACTCACCTGTTTACGAGCTACCATGACTTTAAACCTGTCGAAGTCGGTCATAGCCGCACGCAAGGATTTGCGATGAAGCTTTCGTGCCCATGCAGTGTTTTCCCAATCCTTAGTTATGTCATATCTTTTCCAATGTCTCTCGACCGAATTTGTACCACATCCATGTGGAAGTTTGTACTTTAACTTCGTTAAGTGAAGTTTGTTCAAACTTATTTCTTGTCTAGGAACGCCAGAACATGGTCCATCGATAAGAACACGTCTTTGGTCAATTATTTCTACGATGATTGCCACCTTTTTCGCATAAGGTCCAGAGGCAATGAATACTACGCGCCCAGCCTCTACGAACCTTGTAAAGTTCACCATGAGTGGAAGCAGAAATCTGGAAAAAAAATTGTTAGGTAACTCAGAGAATGAATAGACATTTGCTCTTGCCGTGAAGATTTAAATGTGTTCTAAGATGGACAGGCAACTACATTTTCGAAAGGTATACAAATAACCAAGTAGTTGTCGATTAGGCTCTCACGATACAGACCATTCATGCTAGCAAATACAACTAAGAAGAAAGTTTAGGCATCTGAACTAAACAGTACCGAAAAATAAACCGTCCCTAAATAGGGAAGATGTCACACTTCAACGATGTTCAGTCGGTCAGCTTCAGAGTAAGACCAGGCACATATATGCAATGATAAAAATAGTAGTTTCATGCTTATACACAGATGATTGTACAGACTGACGCAAAATTACTATCTAGACTGATTGTGCAACCAGTCAGCCTTGGTTGTGTGTCAACAGAATGTGTGCCCACCTAGATAAAAAGCGATCTGAGCATGTCTTCGAAGATTGACGTACACTTTTCATTGACTTGTGAGATTGTTCTTGTTGACTATTACTGTAAAACACTAACTTAATACAAGCCATGAGACTGGCTTCACAGTAGTATGAATCAGTTAACCTAAATGAAGCCAATGCCCGCAGGCAAGGCATATGGTGCTCGATGTAATGTTTACATACAGATTTCGAATACAAAAACCGACTGCGGAAGTTCCGAATGAGCTGACAGGACTACGAGAAAACTCATACGATGTACCTTAGATAACTAAGACTCCGTCTTTGCAACTAAATCTTCAAGACACAACCGGCACGTGACTCACCATTCCTTACCTATGCCACACGCAATGCGAAGAGTGTTCGAGAGACGCAGAACGCACAATTTAAACAACACTCATCCACTGTCCAATACATCATTTCAATGAACTGGAATAAAATACTTGCCTTTATGCTCCCATGTCTTGGTGTCATAAAGGGATGTCAGGTCGTTCAGGACGCCCGAAGTCACTATCTACGGTACTAGTCGTATCCTCAGTATATTTCTTATCGAGTTTGAAAGGAGGTTAGATTTCAGTTGAACTCATACTGAAACCTTTCCAGGGTTAATGTCAGTCCCATACCTAGACGAAAGAGTGGGGTTGAGCATGAGGTTAACAATCTTTGCAACAGAAAAAAGTCTTGATAAAAAACGATAATCTGAGAAAGTCATTTCAACCATTTAGTCGATTAACTGAGGTTTGAAGAG